TTAACAGGCAACGAAAGTGCACAGGATCAGCTAGTTTAATATAATGTGTATAGTATAGGTATGTGTGTTTTAAATAATTTTTTTTTTCCTTGTTATCTAAATATTATACAGCATTTTCCAGTGGCGGAGTGCGGAGAGAAAAAAACAGCCCGGGAACATGATAATTTTAGAGGCCCTCAGACCTCAGTATACTAACGGCCCTTTATATAGTATATACCGAGTATATCTTATGTCATTGTACGCTGTGTTTTTTTTAACGATTATGGAACGATGATATGGAGTTTCGTTTAAACCAAAGAAAGGCGTGTTTCTTTATTTTTAACAGGTAACTAGGGTCCTCTAAAGATTAGTAAAATATGCATTAATACTTTTAATTGAAATAATTGGTACCTATAGGTTTAATTTACAAGCGCTAAACAATTTTTAATATTTTCCTTGAATATTTATAACTATCTAGGAATAAATTGTAGTTTTTTGTATATATGGTAATACATTGCTAATAATGTATTGAATAATATTGATATAAATCATATGAATAATATTAAACTCTATTATGTAAGTATGTAATGCAGTAGGTACATGAATTTAAATGAGCTTGATTGGTTAAGGTTTGAAAAAATACGTTTATAAAAATTTTGTTATTCTCAGTGAGTATTTTGTTTATCATATCTTATTATTATGGTCGAAGGGCCAGTAAGTTATACACACGCGCATCCACGTCATAATAATATATCATTACCCCTGAAGAAAGTTTTTGTTTTCCGCTAGAGATTTTATTTTTTGGTATATTGATACAGATAGATATTATAATTTATCACATATACCTAAAATATGACTTCTGAAAATTATTTTACATTTGAATGACTTCCTACTGTTTAATTTATTTATATATTAGCTCCATATTATGATAAATGTGTTAGAATAGGTAGGTACCTCATACCAAGGTAATATATAATATAGGTATCATGTATTCATACTAGTTAAATATAAACAATAAGAATTAAGATAAACATATTATTTGTAAAAAATTAAAACCAATATAAATGTTGAATATAATTGATACTTGTTGCAACTCATAAATAATACATCATTATGATACAATAATTATTAAGAAAAGTACTTGGAATTTTAGATTCTGAGCGGAGCGATGAATGTATTGGTTTTACAATGATGTATGTTTTTATATTTTTATATTTTTATATTTTTATTTATATTTTTGTGTCTGTCATCACGTTTTGGGACAGTAAAAGTGCTTCGATTTTCTTCAATAGTACCTTTTCTGATAGGAAAGTGAATCTAGTTGGTACTTTGGGGGGTCAAAAGTAAACATTTTCCAGTAGTTTTCACAAGCGCCGGGAAAAACAACATAAAAATTAAGGAAAAACGGGAATTTTTACGCAAAATCGATTTTCCAAAAAATCGAATTTGGTTATTGGTGTAACTTTAAAACAAATGACCGTAGATACATGAAATTTTCACTGGTTGTTTATATTTGCATTTTCTATACACGATAACATTTTCAAAATATTTTGATTTATTTTGAACTGTTTAGGGACATTTTCATTTTTCATTTTTTTTAGTTTTTTTTCTAGAAATATCAATAAAATTTTATTTGTTGGTTGCGAAAGCTTGAAAATTTAATAGAAGGCTCCTAATATGTTGTTTCAAAGGCAGATGAAAAATATTAAAAATCCTTAGTCACAATTTTTTTTTATAAGCATTTAAAGTTCAAAAATTGACAAAATATGGAAAAATCACGAAAATTAGCAAATTATTTTGAGTTAAGAATTCGTAAAAATTTTTCTTTTTAAATCTAAGATTTGAAAATGAAACACAAGATTCCTTATAAGATTATCTACCTTTATCAATAAAAAAATCTCTACCGGACAGTCAAATTAAATTTTTATGAGCGTTTGAAATTCAAATTTTTACAACATTGGATTTTCACTCGATTTCTCATGTAGCGATTTCCTTATTTTGTTGTAATTCAAAAACGAATAACTGTAGATACATGAAAATTTCACTGAATGTTTATATTAGCATTTCCTACACACCATACAATTTTGAAAATATTTTGACTCTTTTTGAGCTGTTTATGGACATTTACAGCTTTCAATTTTTTTTAGTTTTTTTTTCTATAAATATCAATAAAGTTTTATCTGTTGGGCCAAAAAGTATAAAAATTTAATACAAGGCTCCTGATACATTGTTACAATATCAGTTGAAAAATATTAAAAATACATAGGCACGATTTTTTTTTATAAGCATTTAAAGTTGGAATTTTGACAAAATTTATCAAAATCTCGAAAATTATCAATCGTTGGAATTAAAAAATTATAAAATGTTCAGTTTTTATAACTAAGAGTTGAAAATTTAAAACAAAGATTCTCTTAAATAATTCATACTGTAACCAAAAAATCTAAAAAATATATAAACACACTTATTTTTTACAGACATTTTAATTTCAAATTTAGACAAAATTTCATATTTAAACCAAGAATTACGATTTTAGTTATTTTGTTGTGATTGAATAATACTATTCGTGGGTACTTGAAACTTCTAAAGTGTACTATTATATATCTATGATAGTATCACGGTTTTTGTTGATGTATAACGCGTTATAAGTATCTAATGGATATTGTGATATGATTAATTTGGAATTTATTATAGGTACCTATTATAGGTCAATTTTTTGTTTAATACCATAGATATGTATATAATATGCCTTATACATAGACTGACATACCATCACCGCTCAGAATCGTTTTTCTTATACAATGATATTATATCATTGAATTCAAATTTAATACCATCCATTATACAGTGACCCACTTGTAACCTACTGTACAGCAGAGCGACACCCACTTGCCCACCTTTTTTACTTTTTATTATCGAATCACCTTCCAATCATAATCAATGCGTTGGTCGGTGGTCTGAAAAAAAATACAACCTCATAGGTACCTAGGTATTTTGGAATGGAAAAAGGAAATCTGAGAACTGTATAATGAATAAAAAATCTATAGGTACTCACTGCGTCATCTAGTGAAAAAAGTAAGTGATGGTCGCTGATGGTTTTGCGAGTGTAAAGGTACAAGAAACCATTCAACGTTTAACGATAGATGTCACTGCCGTTAATGTTCTAACATTCAAGAAAGACCTAGGGACACGAAAATGTCCTGGATTAATATTTATAGTTGAGAAAAACAATACAAATTTTCATTACGTTAATCACCGGAATACCAGGTTTATAATTTACACGCCGCTTATCTATATTAATCGTTCGTACGTTTATTTTGATTATTTTTAATTTCCACTGTAGCGTAATAAGCACGATTAAAGATAGAATAGATAAGATACTATCTTTAATCGTGGTAATAAGTAATAACTAATATTATCATGAACTTATTACTGTTAATATTATTATAATAAGTAATAACTAATATTATCATGAACTTATTACTGTTAATATTATTATCTAATCTGGTGAACAGTTTTATGAAGATGTTTTGAAGAACAGAGATTTGCTGAAAAAAGTCCACAACTCGTCGAAATATAGATGAATACTTGGACGAGTTTAGTTGATAAACAAGGCGAAGACAGTTCTTTTTCTGAATAACTAATTTTTTTTTTTTAATTAAAAATAATGTTTACAAATAAATTTGATGATAATAAATTAGTTAATACATATTTTTCAGTATTTTTTTTTCAGAATGTTTTACTGTATTGTAAATTTTGTATTGGTAAAAAAAATTAATTAACATATTGTAACATATTTTTAAATAAAATAAAGGATATTATTATTTTCATATAACTATAGGTACTATGAAAAAAAAGGTTATTCAATATTCTGATGTCCCGGTTTGATGAATTTAAAATCTGACAACCCTAACATATTTGTTTTAAGAATTATAGTTTATTTTTAGTAACCAATGGCAACCATTTATATATAAAAAAAAAAATAATAATAATTTCTACTATTACTATTATAATATGCAACCAATGGCAACCATTTATAAACAAAAAAAAGTTTCAATTTCCACCGTGAATCTCAATATCCCTGTTTGGCCACCTTTTTAAAATACGTAGGTTATTATCCTTTCTTATTGCACATCTAGAGCATTATTAGAGGAACCACTATTCCAAATTCCAGGTTTGAACGTTTTGTAGTTTTTGAGATGTTTCCATGAATCAGTATGAATTACATCTTGATCATTATACATTACCTAAATCATATGAAATTTTATATACCCATATAGATTTCATAATATAGATAATGTATAATGATTAAGATGTAGGTTTTATATATACATGTACACGTCATAGTTAAGTGTTTATTGTTTACGTCACGTCATAGTTAACATATTGTTATAATTTTCTTTTTTATTCTTATTGTGGATGGTAAATTTTATTTTTAACCTTTGGATAAGTACCTACAACCTACTAGTGTAGTAGTGTCATAGACATATTATTACCAATTGATAGTATTATAGACAATTAGTAAATAAGAAGCACTAGGTACACAATTTTACATTCAACACACTCATCGTTGTTATTCCGGCTAAGCATTCCCACTCCTACTCGACCTTGGACATAAAAATCACTCTATTCGAACATTGAGAATTCTTACAAATATCTATCCGCAACCGGTCTTGTGCTATGATAGTCGATAGTTGAGAGTACGAGGTTCTAAACGCATATATTTGGTGTATGTCCGTAATGAGTTTAATAATTTAACAATTTATACATTTTTTTATTTCTATTAATACCTACTTCATTATATTTTACATAAGATTCTATCATTTGATTGTAAGTAAGTTTATTCTTCACCATAAACTCGTTAAATTTATTTTTACACAGGGTTAGGCCACCTTGTTTCAGGTGTTATACTGTTTTAGCTATAATATGAAAATTCACTACCTATGTGTATCTATCGTTTAATGTATTATATAAATTTTACATATAAGAAATTGTGTATGTTATAGTTAAGTAAAGTTTTAATTATGACGTCTTACAAATTAACGTACTTCAACTTCACTGGACTGGGCGAACCCATCAGATTCCTGCTGTCTTATTTGGATATTGATTTTGAAGATAACCGTATTGAAATTGAACAATGGCCATCAGTCAAACACAGTAAGCCATTTAAAATGTTATGAGTCATATGATTGTCTAAGGTTAAAATTAATTTGGTTATATTCTTAAAGTTTGTGACTGTATAATTAATATTATGTATACGGATGTCGGCCATATTTTTCAAAAGTGATTAATTATAATTAATGAAAAAAATAAAATTGAGTAAAGTTACTAAATAGTAGGGCTCGGATTCAAAGTATAATAAATAACAAAAAAAGCACAAAATTGTTTTAAAAAAGCAAAAATGAAGCATATTTATTTTTTAATAAAGAAAAAAAAAAGCATGACTAAAAATTAACATGAATTAGTTATAATTTTGTAAAACTGAATAAAAAAAATTGAAAAATTAATTTAAATTAAAAAAAGAATTTACTACCATGTATTTGGCAAGATTTTCAGAAGTGAAACTGATTCTATTGTCTGACAGGATGTTTTTATACATAGAAAACGAACGCTCTACATCCACTGAAGTGATCGGTGCATACTTCATGCAAGAGGTTTCGTTTAAATCGAACCCATGGTAGTTAATTTCGTCTGATGAAACGCCACACAGTATAGTATTAATGTCCAGTAATTGTTTCCAGCCTTTGTTTTTCAAAAGAACACGATTTAGCTTACCAGAAATAGCAGTTGCAATATCCCCATGAGCTTCATTTAACTTTTTTTCTGTATCTAAGACAATATTTATACATGTTGTCAACGATTCGCCTAAAATGATACATATAATTTAGTATTATGATGTTAAATTGTTTAAATACTTTGTTAAAAGTTACCTTTTCCCTCTAATGTTGTAAAATATCTGGTAGAAATCTAAAGTTGGTTGAAATATACACAATATTTGATTGAAGAGATACATTTTTAAATAGTTGTTTCACTACTTTAACACATTGAGATTCTTCTTCGAAGTCTTCAATTACACTTTTTAATTCATTAAAATATTTGCAATAACACTGGACAGCTTTTATCCATGTACCCCATCTGGTCGTTATTGGTCTTATGGTGGTTTTGGAAATTCTGGGCATTTCTCATTAAAGATTGCTGTACGTTTGATACATTTTAAAAACGTTTTTTTCATTCCTCCAATCAACTGATTTACATCTTGGTAGTGTGCACTGTGCACGTACTTCTTCGCAAACATTGTGTAATGCATGTGCCAAGCAAGTCACATGTATGAGTTTTGGGTAAAGCGCTTTTATACAATCTTATTAGTAATTAGTAATTAGGTACCAAAAAATATAATATTTAACTCAAAAAGTTTAAATTTCCATAGTATAATATGCAGAAAAATATTAACTTAACTCAGTTAAAAAGAAATAAATTAACTTTTTTTTTAATTACAACCTACATTCAAAAAACAGTGACATTTCATACTACTAGCTGTCCGTTTTTATTACACACTAAAATACAAAACATCATTCAGGCTAAATCAAATAGTTTTTATGTCACGTTGTATTATACCTACTATTATTTAAGTTGTGTTTTTTTAGCCATGCCATATGGTACACTCCCTTTGTTGGAAATCGATGGTAAAGTATTAAATCAATCTTCGGCCATCTGTCGTTATTTAGCAAAAAAGGCTAATTTAGCTGGTAGCGATGATTGGGAATCTTTATTGATAGATATTGCCGTTGACAATTATAAAGACTTTGCTCTAAGTAAGTACAAGTCTTTGTCTAAATATACTGACCGAACCATTATTTAAAGTGTATAACATTATTTTTAAAGGTTTGAAATCTTATTGGTTTGAACCAAATGAAGAAACTAAAGCTGCAAAGTATGTTACATTGGTCAACGAAACTATTCCATTTTATATGGAAAAGTTTGAAAAAATTGTCGGTGAAAATAATGGATACTTCGTAAACGGAAAGGTAGATAATATATGTATACCTACATTATTTAATTATTTAAATATACCTAATCTACATTATATTATTATAGATGTACATTGTACCATGTATACACACATTGTACCTACATCATTTTGCAGTGGGTATTTACTATTTAGTAACAACATGTTATTGGTTTACCGTATTAAATTTAATTACTAGGTACATAGATAGTCAATGCACCTATAATATTATGAAAAAATTATTCAAATATGTAAAAAAACATAACAGCTTTCTTTGACGAGTATTTAATGGTTTGACTTATAATACAAATTTAACCAGAGGTTTTTAAGCATAGTTAATAATATGATTGAACTATATAATATATGGAAATATAATATAATTACTTATATGATATATCAACATTCAGTAAAATTATTATAATTATTTACCAACGCGTAATTTTAATAATATTCCAATAGATACCTATAGGTATAACCAATGAAAGACGTAAATAATTTGGATTAGTAATAATGCATTTAAGTCATTGAATTCAAATAATAATACACTGCAGATATAATGTTTTCATTGTGGCGACTAAGTGTTAAATAAATTGTACTTATCACAATATATTTTTTTTTTCAGTTATCTTGGGCTGATTTATTCTTTATAAGTGTTATGGACCATTTAATATACAGATTAAATATTGACATGTTTAAAGATCGTCCAAACTTACAAGCGCTCCGAGAAAAGGTATTGGCAGTACCCAAAATTAAATCATGGATTGAAAAACGACCATTATCGTTTGACATTGCATAATTCCATCGTATTTATTGGATACAATTAATTAAACCATCATATCATATCCAATATAAAATTAGTTTTAAGTATTACATAATATTTCAAATTTCAATACAATATTTGGTAAAATATAAATTTAAAAAAAAGTTTTACAAACATTATACATATATAATTAACCTATTAACATATTGTGTAAATTGTATAAATAATTTGGTGAATTTTCGACAGGATAATAAAGTTAAAAAAATACACTTGTTGGAGAACAATTCTATACTATACCTAGTATACCTACTAAAATATTAATGTTTAATTTAAAATGTGTACCTATTATATTTTAAGTACCCACTTAAGTATAATAAGCATTCACGTGGCCCATACCATAGTTATGATTAATCTCTTTTTTGCAAATATTTAGTTTACCATTCCTTCAACATCTTGTCTTATAATACATATTATAAACTTCCAAAATTCAAACCTATAGTTTCGAAATTCACACGAAAATCCTTGCCACTTAATACTAAAAAAGGTGCTCTGCTGTACAGTAGGTTACAAGTAGGTCACTGTATAATGGATGATATTAAATTTGAATTCAATGATATAGTATCATTGTATAAGAAAAACGATTCTGAGCGGAGACGGTATGTCAGTCTAGTTATAAGGCATATTATATACTAATCTATGGTAATTATTCAATTTCAAATATGATAAATTTTGTCAAAATTCGATCTTTAAATGCTTATAAAAAAAAATTGAGCCTATGTATTTTTAATAATTTTCAACTGATATTGTAACAATATATCAGGAGCCTTGTATTAAATTTTTACACTTTTTGGCCCAACCGATAAAACTTTATTGATATTTATAGAAAAAAAAAACTAAAATAATTGAACACTGAAAATGTCCGTAAATAGCTCAAAAAGAGTCAAATATTTTCAAAATTGTATGGTGTATAGGAAATGCTAATATAAACATTCAGTGAAATTTTCATGTATCTACAGTTATTCGTTTTTCAATTACAACAAAATAAGGAAATCGCTACATGAGAAATCGAGTGAATATCCAATATTGTAAAAATTTGAACTTCAAACGCTCATAAAAATTTAATTTGACTTTCTTATAGACATTTAATTCTTGATAAAGGTAGATAATCTTATAAGGAATCTTGTATTAAAATCTTTTAATTTTGACCCCCCAAAGTACTAACTAGATTCACTTTCCTATCAGAAAAGATACTGTTGAAGAAAATCCAATCACTTTTACTGTCTTAAAAGGTGATGACAGACACAAAAAAAAAATTAAAATAAAAAAAAAAACACAAATCATTGTAAAATCAATATATTCATCGTTCCACTCAGAATCTAAAATAGGTAAGTACATGAAATATATAGACCGGGACAGGAACAGGATTCGTCAGTTCCGCAGGTAAAACAAAAATTTAAATTTTTAATATTATTTAGTGAAACTGTAATTTGTCGTACACGTGAAGTTGGGAAAGTACATTTAATTAAAAATATAATATTTAGTTGTGCAATTTCAACTTTTGCTTGGAGGGGGCTGAATATATTAAAGGCAAGCAGACCATTGCAATATAGCATATTAAAATTGTATGCCCCAGGTTTGGAGGGGAGTGGGGGGATGCTACTGATAAGTTTGGAGGGGGGCTTAGCACCCCCAAGCCCCCCCAATTTGCGCCTATGTATACTGTAAATCGTTGTAATTAAAGAAAAATTAGGATTTTTCAAGCTCGTGAGTGCGGGGCCCAGGCTCGGCCCGGCCTTAGGGACTATAGGGAGGCCCTGTTGAGTGTGGATGTCTCCACTCATCGGCCTTCGTACACTAGTATTCGCTGTGTCACATGGGTGTTTAGATTTCGTAAGGTACAAGTTAATTAGGTGGGAGGGAGCAGACGTTTAAAAACTCTATAATATATACTACTGGTCTATGGGTCAAAAGAACCACAAAATAATTGACGGACGAATTTCTTCGTCCGCCTCCATAATGATCGTTGTGGACGTCCGTGTTTGCCAGACGGCAAATCTAAGTCCGGACCGTCGCTAGCAGAACTTTGACGTACAGCGATATCCGTGGACATTTGTGAAGTCACCTCGTGTTGGCCGATGACGGCCGAGCTCACCATAGACACGACGTAGTCGGCTAAATCAGCCTCTCCGTCGTCAATGACTGGTTTATACTCTGTGCAGTAAACAAGTTCGATTTTTGTCATTAGGGCTTTTACCACGTCCATCACGGAAACGTTGAAATAGTCGTCGTCTTGTCATTGCATGATGTTGTTGATGGTCTTGGACGGAAATATGTATTAACTGTTTATTAACGGTCTTTCTTACGGAAGAATTCTTACGGACTTCGGTTTGGTAATCTGTAGAGTAAAGGAGTTCAATTTTGCCCATGAGAGCTGCTACTACGTCCATTACCGAAACTTTAAAGTGGCCCCTGAGGATCTCGTCGTTGCATTATGGTGTGGAAAACTGTACGTGCTTGCTACACGGAAATGCAAAATGTTATGAACGCAAAACTAGAAAACCGTCAAAGGCTATCGTCGAAAAATACAAATATTTCCCAGATGACGGCGGTTATTTTTTCAAATCCATTATTATTGATACCTATATACGCGTATGGCGTATAGGTAAAATATTAAATAATATATTATATTATATTTTAACGAGTAATCGTGTTTCTGTTTGTATTTGATGTAGGTACTGCAGCGCTCATCGATGCATTATGTACGTATCTACTTTACGAAACTCAACGCCCAAACTCAATTAAAATTCTATTTATAATTGTATGCGGGAAATGGGTTTGGCGTCTTATTTATTAAGAATGGAGGTCTATGGACGGCGAAAATTCGAAAGCTTAGAATTTTTAGACCAAACCGTCCTCAAACAATTTATTTTATTTTATTTTTTTTTTAAATTATTTCATTAAAAAATATCATCACGTGGATTTTTTTTCTATAAGTGCGTTACACATTTAGACGACGCCAAAAGAGTTGTTGACGCGCACTGCAATTCAGTAAAAAGGATTATTATATTCTATGTGTCGTTTACTGGTCAGGTTGTCCATGATAGTGATATTATTGTTTTCGGTCGAACAGACTTAAGAGCCTGAACGGAATCAAACTATAGGGCTCTGCAAAAATATTGCTCTTAAAAAATAAAATTATTTATTTGAATGCAATATACTGCCATATTTTAAAACATACATGCCAGTAAAAAAATGTCATTTGAAAATAATATATTACTAACGTTTTTTTATAATACTGCTGCAATGTCACAAATTATGAAATGCAACATCACTGCACAACACTAAATATTGGCTATCTGGCTGTAGTTATGATTACTTACCTACATAAACATTTTGCATGATACTTATAAGAGTTTTAAACAACTTACAACATCAATTCTTTTTATCAATCTTGCTGGCATTACCATTAAAATATGCTTTTATGAAAAATGAAAATATGCCCACACTAGTACACTACAATGAGATTTTAAATTCATATATTATATTCATGTACCTAAATGAACGGTTATTGTAGAGAGCATACTTTCATAGGCAATAAACAATTTTCTCAGAAACTACTTACCAGAATAGGTACCTAGGTACTTAGTTACCAAATTGAATACTCAAGTTACTATCTTGAGTTATCATTAGTACTCCTAACTCCTAAGTCATAGTAATTAAAATATAATATAAACATAGAATTGAGATAAAATCAATACAAATGATAAGTAATATTACTTATTTATAATTATTCCGCTATTGATTAATTAGTTAAAAGTTGTTTTAATATAATATTATTATACATTTATAATGAGTAATGACGTACAGATTCAATAGATTTTAAGGAGTTAATTAAATGCAATTTTTTAAGTTTTTTTTTGATTATTTGAGTGTGAGACTGAAGTAGTCTAAAAGAAATCACAGGGCACTGCCGCAAGTGCAATTAAATGTCAAAATGTGTTACACGAATATAAGTTATTTTTTATTTGAGTTAAGCTTTGACAACTGAGGTCATTAATCTGATATTACGGAGAAGGGTACTGTTGGTTTAAACACTTATGTGTATGTGTGTGGAAAAGATTTGTCACTGAAATGCAGGTGGTACCCATCTAGGAACTAGTGACACCGGCCGGTGCTGGCACTCAGAACATGTTAATGACTAAAACCAAATACCGCGCTACATCAGGCCACAGTTATTTTGTTTATCTAAAGCAATCAATCTTTTGAAATTTTTTTTTAAGTTTTTCGATGAAAACAATAACTTTCTTTCATTTTTAAATTAATTGTTTGATTTCAAAAGCATGGACATTAAAAAAAAAAATTAATTAATTAATTTCAAAGATGTGTTCAAAAGTTCATCAGATTAGGCGATAACAACTATGATAGTGGGTATAATAATATCGTATAAGGTATATTTTGGTATAAAACACAGTCGGGATCAAATCTCTTGAAATACAAAAGGGATACTAACTGTATTTTAGCATAGTCTTAGTTTCTTCATATTAACTAGTGTAGTTAATTTCTGTTAAAAACAAATTTTAATTAAATGATAAATTGATAAAAATAGTTCTGAATGAAACTCTATTTTCTCAAAAACTATAGAATGTGACAAAATTAAATTAATATGTTACCTACATTTCTTCACATTATTATTTTAATGTTTTCTATAATTACTGGTAATATAGAAAAATGGCACCCTTAATTATACAATTAACATTTATGCTGTATAGTATATCTGTAAGTAATACACAATCAACTTACTTTAAATTTAAATTATGTAGTATATATAAAAAAGAAAAAAGGTAATATCTATTGTATTTATTAACTAAATATAAATTGATGAAATATTTATTTGAAGTTTAATATTTGTTAAACTAATCAAATAATGACATTAATAACAATTTGTTTTTAATAGGTATTTACACTAAATAGCTCCACATAATTTAATTCTTATTCGGTGGTACCCAAGCTTGGATTTTTGGTGGCATTGTACTATATGGTACATATTGACGTTCGGTACCAGTTTCGTTTTCTGTATGTTTGGCCATCCACTTGTACTTCGGCCTATTTGGATCCTTAAAAAAACATTAATTAAAAATAACTATTAATAAAGTACTTATGCATTCCCTATTCTTTCACTTGTTAATTTTAAAGTGCCCTCAAGTTTTACTTGTCATAAAACCTCTTTTTACAATAATTCCTCTGCTCAACCTTTATATGTCCAATAAACCAATTTAATAGATTAATGAAACTAGTAAATAAGGATCCCTCATTCCTTAGTATATAAATCCTTTTAACTCAAACTTATTGTTTTAATATTGTTATATTGTTATGCTGTATATTATATTATGTTATATTATGTATCCTATTTACTTAAGCACAAACATCGTGATTTTTAATTTAAGAATTCATTGTAATAATTAGATATTTTGTAATATTAACTATAAAATCTGAAGAAAAAAATGTTCACTGGAATTATTCTTGGGACTTTTAATCCAAATAAATTGGTGTAAAGAAGCTTAAAAAAATTCTTATCATACCAAATCTGTTTGGTTATATATAAGCACGATTAAAGATATACAGGTTGCACATCGCCCTATAGTAAACCGCTTCCAGACTGATTTACAAAGTGACTATAAAAATCAGCTGTTAATAATTAACTAGTGGCGCTTAATGTCAACACTCAACCATATGTGTCGACATTTAGAACTAATTTTACACCTATATATCTATAATTGGTTAATTGTAATACTGCCGCTTGGAGCGCCACTGGTTAATTATTGGTAGTCATTTCGTATTTCACCTTATCAGTAGTCGATGTGCAACCTGTATATCTTTAATCGTGTATATAAGGTTAGATCTGGATAGTATTATGGGTTATAGCAAGAATTAGTAATAAACAGATTGTGAAGGACAATCAAAAATATTTAACTTTTATGGTGGGTTCACACACAGACATTTGTTTTTGAATTTTTTTTTATTATTTGTTTCTATTTAGAATAATATTGTTTAAGGTTCACTGATCCCTATCAAGAAAAATTCTGCTTATGTATAATTTCTCACATTAAGCTTATAACATTGTTGTCATTAAATTTACTTTTTAGTATATAATATTTTAGTCTGGATTCTGGACCTTATATATTTTTTTAAAATCATCTGGCCTCCTTATAAACTAATCACTGATCCTTTACTAATAAAGTTTAGTGTCATATACTTTATAATATTAAAATGAATGGTTTCCCGGTAGGCCTATCCGCCCATGCATGAACACGTTTGTTTAAATAATATTGTTTTCATAAACTTACATTTTATAAAAAAATAAAGCAATTTTACTTAAAAATAGTTCACAGTTTTAATATTTTCTATTAACTAATTATATTTACATTATATGGAAGAAGGTCCGTTTTGTAATGGATCCAACCATACCATTCAGCAGTAATTTGACTTGCATCATAATTCAAATAAACTTGGTCATTGTACTCTACCCAACGATTACGTCCTGAAATATATCAACTGAATTAAACAACATACCTACAAAAGAAAAAATGTTATCGTCAATTGATAGATAATTACCATAAAAATACGTATTGTTTTCATAATAGCGATTGCCCATTTCATCAGTGCCAACTAATGTACCAATTTTCAATTCATCATGTCTGTAAAAGTTAAAAATAATTATTATTAAAAAATGTATTACTAAACAATTTTTAAAAACTATGGAGTATAAATAATATTATGCATAAACAAAATTACAATGATTCTATTTTTAATTTATTTTCTTTTTTAAAATGATAAATTATAAGTGTTTTTCTAACATATTTGGATTACAATTTAATAATATTAATTTTGACTATTTCTTATAAAGAGTTTATCAAATGATAACTTTCCTCAACATGTCATTCTCTTATTACTATATTATATTCATGATTCATTTTATTTACCTAGGTGATTATTAAGTCAGTGCTATTAAGTCAGATTAAAGGTTTCCAGAAAAAAAAAGCCAAACTATTTATTTAGTTATAAAGAGCATGATAAAGATAATATGTATTATAAGTTAGAAAAATAAATACACAAATGGTTCACCCTGTCTTCAGCAATGGTACAATAATCATTTTTAAAAACCCTAAAATATAATTAAATGTAATATAAAACTATAGAAGTTGACATGATAGATTAATAACAATAGATACCTAGTAAAAGAGATCAGCTTAAATACTTACAAAATATATTATAATGAAAATAGTATGAATATGACTGGTCCCACCACTACCTAAGGGTTATATTAACAAAAATAAAATCTACTAAAAAGTAATAAGTGAAAATCACCAGGTACTTATGTGAATGTTTATGAATTAGTTTTTGTTTGATTATGCAATAGATACAATAAATACGAAATTCAAATAAAAATACTTGAAGAATAATCAACTAGATCATAAGATACACGATAGTAAGTATTAAATACCTAACAGTTGTTTTAAAAAAAATTTAAAATCTTAGTAGTAGGTATGATAGACATGTAGTATTGTGTACAATTAATAAAAATGCACATCCATTAAAATTTACATTTTAAAACACCAATTATCATTTAAAATTAATTATACTGACGTAAATGTTGCTTAATAGTAGCATTTTACATTTTTCATTCATTTTTAGGAATCCGTACGGTAAAACAGGACCCTATTACTTAGGCTCCGCTGTCCGTCCGTCTGTCACCAGGCTGTATCTCATGAACCATAAAAATTAGAAAGTTGACATTTTCACAGATTATGTATTTCTGTTGCCACTATAACAACAAATACTAAAAATCCTAGAATATATTATTATAATATAAGAAGTGTTGTTGCCAACATGTCTATAGATGGTGGAACGGAACGAACATTTCGTGCGTGAGTCCGACTCGCACTTGGCCGGTTTTTAAACTAATGGTGTTAAATGATCAAAGTTTAATTCGATGACATTTCTGTAGAGTAAGATTCGTATTGAGGAAATGACTAAAAATTGAACAGAAAAACTGTATTATTTAAGTATAAAACTCACCTGAATAATTTTTTGAAGGCGTTTAATGGTCCACCATTGGCTTTGATGATGTTAAAGCCCGTGATAAATTTATTAAAAGGAAAAATTTTGTTCATTTTGACAAAAATCAAACCATAAGTTGTCTTAAAATGTTGTATCTAAAATAATATAATATTATTGTCGTCTTGTCGATAGACTTGACTTTAAAAACTATTATCACTCGAGTTGTTATCAATGTCAAGAAATCAGATGTTTATAATTTCTTACTTTTCAAATCATAATAATGTTTTAATAATTTGAAAGGAAAGATTTCGTGTTTTGTACTTTAATATTAATCCATTAATTAAATCAATTCAACTCTATTAAAATAACGAATATCATTTATCATAAAAATATTACATTTATGAATTTTTATTTATTATCTATTATTTTATTTTACGTATATGTAGCTAATAAAGTTTCTGATAGATGGCGTACTATGCACGTCGTTGGATAATAATTTTGTACTTGAAATTTACAATTATTCAAACAACTAATAAATTGTCCACTCTCTTTTGGTTTGTTTGGTTCTAGCAGTTCTGCAGTTCTGCTCTTGAATTAATTATTGAAAAAGAATTAGGTTCTGGTACTTTTTAAAAAAACACAAATAATAAGTTTAGGTTATATTTAATTTAGGTAGGTAGTAATGTAATAGGTATGTACATAATTAATTACCTTGTTAAAAAAATATTTTTAATTTAAGCAATTTCGATGTGCTTAAAATGCCTAGTATTGTTAAATTTATAATTAAAAAATAACTATTTTGTGGCACACTGCAATACTGCACAGATCAATCTGATACGAAATAATACTTGGGCGTTTATTGTTGGTTAAAACCATAGACCTTATACTAAGATATTAGAAAAATATATTTCTTATTCTGTGATATTGTTCTGTGGTGATATTATACTTAGTATAAGGTCTATGGTTAAAACAACTAATCATAGAATACATAATAATATTATACATTTGTTACTATGTAAATTATTTTAACTGTTTTCCAAATGTGTGTTTATTGCTATCAATACCAAATAATTTTCATATTTGTTAATATAATATGGACTTTCTCACTATTTATATTATTAAATTCTTCTAGTTGGTAATTTAGTAGTTATCATTCATTTTTTTGTTTTGTGCGTCTTGAAAATTTACTGTTATGCTTTGTTTTCTGTTAATCTATACTGAAAAGTTGTATAAACTGATAAAAAATATAAAAAAAAGTGATGATGTTTTTTCTTCGCATTGTTCGTACTTTATTCTTAAAAATGATATTCAAAAGTTATTTGAGACGAAAAGTCTATGCATTGGAAAAACTAAAAGGAAAAACACCAAAATATTCAATTTTCGATCGTTTCATTGACGTTTTGCTCAAGTGATTATTTGTTATTGTTTTTATTACTTACGTTAAAACTGTAACTGAATATCTTGTTACCAACCTACTTGTTTAGTTTATTATGGTGTGTTTGGATGGAGAAATGGTTTGGTGTAAACAAAGAAAACAAGAGAATGATAAAATGGGCAAAAATTAAGAAAATTATAGAAACTAACGGGACGTTTACTAACTTCGTTTTAAAATCTTTACTAGGATTTTTGAGTAAATTGTTTTGATATACCTATGGTTTTATTTTTATAAAGTGTATAATATCTATTATTATAATTTATTATTAACAATATTATTATTTATTATTTACAATAATTTTCAACTTACCTTGTTTTTTCTTGTCTGAATACCACTCGTACATTTTAGTTGGCGTTTTATTGACTATGGGAATGTTCACGTTTCTGTTACTGCAATTAAATTATTCTTATTCGAAGGCCACAGTAGTAAGTTCGGCAGTTGGGGGCTTACTGACATTAGGATTGGCCTTTTCTCCGAAATGCAGGTGAGTGTTGAACTTAATAATATAATAATATACATTGATTAATTACCTACCTACCTACATAACTAGCATACAAATTAAGGATATTATGCTTTGTTTAATAACATATTTAAATATTTTACACTTGAACATCGAGGTGAGTATAAGCTGATATTGTATGAATGCATAATAACTACAAACCTTTAACTTACAGTAGGATCGACAGTCAAAATTACCTACCTATCCTAACTCTAGATTAAATTAACAAAGAAAATACCTATAGTTTTTTTTATTTTCATTGGTTTAGATGTATTTTTATGATGGTCTTGCCGCAGTTATTTTCGGATAAGGGTCGACATGCGCTACTCATGTACGCGTTCATTTTATCGTTTTCCGGACCTTCCAAGACTACATTACACAACACCGGAGTCTTATCGGAATCACTTACTTGCTTGCAGGTGCGAATCTTTGGCACAAAAATAATTCCTATTGGGTAATAACAATGCATTAATGTATCCGAATGGAACGTTTTAGGACGAAATAAAATCGGCAATACGACAAATCGTTGAAATAATAAAAAAGCCACTACTGGCCATCCGATCTTCCATAACGCGCATAAAGGCAAACCTATCGGTAATAGTAAATAAAATGAAAAAAGGAATGTTGGCCGTCAAGAATACTGTGATAGAGTTAGGTGAGGGTGTTTTATTAATTTGGATATCGTCAGCCGTACATACAATTAATAATATATTAATATGATCGTAATCATATCATCGAAAATGCTCTTATCTTTATTTGTGAAATGTTTGCGTCATGAATATAGTAATATTACTAAACTTTTTGATCTTTTTAAAATTAGTTAAATAGTTACTTACTGGAGCTAGATATAACTAAGACATTTTAAGACGTTACACCTAACACTTAGGCGACAAAAATACACATATTACATAGTATGTTATATGTATGTCTTAACCTTTATACATAGTACGAACAATTAAGGCAGCGTATGAATGGCTGTACAGCGTAATGAATATTTGTAACAAAAAAGTCGGCACACCATATCAGAGGTGCACAAAAATGTTTGACAACGCTTTGGAAGAGTGTAAAGTAAATAGTATTTATAATCAATGGCAATACATATTTAAATATTTTAGTGGTGAAGAAATAATTTGTATGACCACTGCAAAAATGAAAAATAACTAACACAGGTTTTACACAGGTGACAGTGTCGCCTGCTTTCGATTTTATGTGTTCGATATCCTACGTGATTTCAAATGTATGCTACACGGTTAAGTTTCTGGACAGCCTTTGTGAATTTTTCGAATTCATAAACGAATCTATTTTCGGGGCCATTCGTAACAGTAAGCTTTGAAAAACCTTATGAACACCTGTTTCTATGTACCACACTACCACCACATTACCGCTCAATCATAATATTAACTAATTAAAACTTAATGGTTTTCAGGTTTAAAAAGTTATGTACGTCACATGAAAAACATGTTTTACGTATCCATTGAGTTCAAACATTCGTTTGCATTTGAGTCGACACCGAGTAAAATGAGTAGTGACATTATTCGCGGTATCATTACCGAAATTAAGTACAAGATCGAAAATGTCGTACTGTTGTTTGACTGGGCTGGGTCGATTTTTTCGTTCTTCTTTCTGTACGTGTTTGTAAGGTGAGTATTTTTGTAATCGGTGGTCCCTTAAAATATGTCCCACTATTAAAATATTATGGTCGCAGAGTGTTACAGTACAGACATAAGTATTTGACGGTTGATTCGTATGATAACAAATACTTGACAAAGGAGTTATACGAGCTAGACGAACGAAAACAGATCCTTGATCGACCGACCATTATGCCGCTGACTAGAGTAGAAAAAAATAAATTCATAGAGGTTATTCAGTTTCTACTTTCTATTAATATACACAGGGTGTAATAGAAATAGCTGACAGATTTAATAAACATTATCCCCATAATATTTTCTGTTTAAAAGTTTTTTAGTATAAAATTATTAATAATAATTTATTATAACTGGTATTTGCATAAAAGTTTAAAATATTGATTAATGATTATATTAAAAGTCAAAACATATAGTTAAGTATTATTAGCTATAACATAGTTGGTTATTTCTGTTATACTCTGGATATGAATAATATATTATTGTATTAGATGTTTTCAGCTTTTAGCAGTTGAATTTCAAACTTACCTATAAATATTAATTTAGATGGCATAAATATTTTCGTAAGTTCTAATGTCAACGCGTATATTATAATTAATGCATTTGGATAATTCTGTAAAACACTACTTATTCAACTATCAACTATATTATATTTATACATCAATATATCATAAAATATCAATATTTAGTTATATTTTTATTTAATAATAATATAATAGTATAGTAAACCACATTAAAATAATATCAAAAATGATTAATAGGTATACAATAGGTACTCAAAATTTCATAAAACCTTTAAATATTTAAACAGCAAACATATAATATATTATGTTTATTCTATTATTTTTAAAATATGAATAGGTTACGATTGAAAGTTATTTGGTCTCGTGTTAGGAACTCCTTACTCGTTTAACACATATATTTTATTTTTGTATTTATTCCATGACGTGGATTTAGTGAACTCATAGTTATATTCAATTTTTATATAATATATACTATGAAAAAAAAAGTTACAAATATCATTTTTTTTTTTGAAAAATTAATGTTTGTATTGGTAATACATTTGTTGAACGTATAAGTAATTCAATATGATATGTTTGTTGTCTATATTATACATTAGCGAACATCTGCTCATTTGGTACTGAAAGAAAGAAAAGCGTTGTTCCGGTCATTGGCCATACTATTACTGGCGACATTTAAGATACTCATACAAATGGCGGTGGATTACAGCCTTTATTGGATATTGATCACTGTCAGAAAATATGGGCGACTGTCATCACAACTCGACCGTAAAAACAATAAGGCCGATGTATGAACTGCAAGTTATTAATTTGCCAAATATATTATATAAATATCGTAGCACCAAGAATGATCGATGTGAACATCGAAGGCGATGGAATACTAGCAGATCTGTATAAGACTATAATTCAAACATTTAAGCCGGTGGCGAAGGAAATGAACATGGACACAATGAGTTGTTTGCCGAATCCATGGCCGCCAAACTACGATTGCTATCGGCGGATAAGTAATATACAA